TTATTATTATTATTATTATTATTATTATTATTATTATTATTATTATTATTATTAGGGCAGCACGGTGGCGCAACTGGTAGAGCTGCTGCCTCTCAGCGAGCAGGTCCCTGGTTCAAACCCCGGTCCAGGGGCCTTTCTGGGTGGAGTTTGCATGTTCTCTCCGTGCATGCGTGGGTTTTCTCCGGGTACTCCGGTTTCCTCCCACAGACCAAAAACATGCATGTTAGGCTGATTGGTAACTCTAAAATTGTCCCTAGGTGTGAGTGAGAGAGTGAATGGTTGTTTGTCTTGTTTGTCTCTATGTGGCCCTGTGATGGACTTGCGACCCGTCCAGGGTGTACCCCGCCCCTCGCACAGTGATTGCTGGACATGGGCACCAGCGACCCCCGTGACCCAAAAATGGAATAAACGGGTAAAGAAAATGGATGGATGGATTATTATTATTATTATTGCTGATGTTTTTGGCAAAAAGGCCTTCTCTTACTCTGCTCCTGTAACCTGGAACACCTTGCAAAAAGATCTGAAGCTGTCTACTTTGATCTCTTTAAGGGATTTTAAACACATGTCAATGGAAATATCAAAGCAAATTTGTTTGTGTGTTTAATATTTTACTTGTTTTATATGGTATCTGGATTTGACTGTGTTTATAACTTGTTTAATTTGATTTTAATTGCTTTTTGATGAATTATTGTTATCTGTACTCCGTATGTTATCTGTTTAAAACCGGTCTCTCTTGAATGAGACTGACCTGTGTAAATAAAGGTTGAATGAATGAATGAATCATTAATTTCTTTCAGTATATGACCAAATTTAAATGTCAGCAGGGTCAGAACAAGTCTTGCCAGAGGAAAAAATCCTGGTGAATGTAACTTTATTGCTGTTGATTTCTTGTGCCTGCTCAATGTACAAATCATGCACAAAGTATGCAGTGACATCATTGCAGCTCAATTTTTTTATTTCATTTTATTTGTTTAAGAAATGGAAACTCCATCCATCCATTATCTTCTTCCTTTTTGGATCACAACGGTCACTGGTGCCCCTGTCCAGCAGTCACTGTGCGAGATGCGGGGGACACCCTGGACAGATCTCCTGTCCATCACAGGGACACATAGAGACAAATAAGACAAACAACCACTCACTCTCTCACTCACACCTCGAGACAATTTTAGCATCACCAATCAGCCTAACATACATGTTTTGGGTCTGTGGGAGGAAACTGGAGTACCTGGAGAAAACCCACACATGCACGGAGAGAACATGCAAACTCCACCTAGAAAAGCCCCAGGCCGGAATTTGAACCAGGGACCTGGTCACTGAGAGGCAGCAGCTCTACCAGTTGTGCCACTGTGCTGCCTCTAATCAAAGTCGCAGCCTAAAAAGTTAGATTTTCAATATGTCCATGTAAGTGTGAGCATCAATAGTGAAAGAACTCTAGACACCCGACCAAAACCTGGATGTTGAAGCCAGAACAGGACCAGTTTTCTTGTAGGCTGGTTACAGTATAAATTTAAGGTCCTGCCACTTCCACTTAAACAACTGGGACATTGGCTTTGATTAAAAATAAATAAAAAAACATCCTCAGATGTTTTTTTTCCAGGTGTTGACAGATCTTGATTCACGGAGTTTCTTCCTTGCTGCTGTAGGTACCTTGTGCTGCAATATACACTTTTCTAATATGTTTTGCTGTAATTAGTATTCGCATGACTGCACTGGCAAAATGGGATCTTGTAGCTTCAGTTATCAACAGCAAAATAAACCAGGAGGCAGTGTTTAGAGAGCTTAATGAGTGCTAGACAGTCATTAAGTCTTATCCTTCTCTAATAATTTACTGATTCACTTTTTTTTCTTTCAGATCCAAACGAAAGGTTCTGGGTCGTAAGGAGCCGTCTGACTCTTTTGGCAGCCGCCAGAGCCTGGTGTCGCCTGTGAAGCACAGCACCAGCGGGATTGACATCAGAAATCTTACCTTGGGCAGCAGCCAGAGGTCTACTTCTCGCAATGAGAACTTCATGGCTCTGCTTCAGAAGAAAGGCAACAAGTCTTCAGGTGGAGGATCGAGAGTGTCTGCCATGGAGCTTTTAAAGAGCACAAACCCCCTAGCCCGACGTGTCACTGAATTTTCAACAACCACGGCATCAAATGCGGAGGGAGGAGATACCCCATGTGGGAATGATAAACCCACTGACCAGTGAATGGAAACTTTACAGACGTTAACTGGATCTTTTACTGAAATCAACCAATTCTCCAATCTGCCGCTCATTGAGGATGGAGCTCGTAATACTAGCATATTCAGCAGGACTGCCCCAACCTCTGACTGACCATTTGCACTGTCCAATCAAATTGGAGCCAATGTTTGGACAAAGTGGTCTTTCCCAAGGTTGGTGCGCTGTTGTTCACGATCAGATATGTCCTTCAAGACACCAGGGGAGACAAAAGCCGGTTCTTTTATAGACAATGGTGGATGTATTGAGGTCATTTTTTGTTACTAAGCTCAATGTGGAAGTCAAAGGAGTATCTGGATGGGTGGAGATGAAACTGGGAATGTAAAAACATACAGTGAATTTTGTCACTCATTGCTCCTTTTGGATAGAGACAATAAAGATAACCATAACAACAGGGGTAAATACTTCTGAATCTGTAACCAAACTGATCTGCTATGGTACCGCCGAGGATCAGAAATCAAATTAGTCCCAGAATCAAGTGGAATACTCTAAAGAACACCGGAGACCTGCACAATCTTTCCACTACAGGTCTGACACCTGTAGTTTGACACCTGAATTGGAGGGTTGATCGCTAAATTGCGATCAAGCAACTGTGGAAGGTAACATGACTAAACCATGAGCATGGTCGATGCAATAGCATAGCAGCCCTTTCATTTTCAGCATTGAAGTGCCCGATTTACAAAGAGAAACTGCATGGGGGCGTTGCGCCACCAAAGACGAGGCATGAGCATGTTCCACATTTTGTTGCCCGTGCTGTAAAAGTGAACATGGACCTTCACAAAACATTCCACAGAGACGCCTTGCCAATGGACAAGTTCGCAACACAAAGCACTTTTGTTTTTGCTGGCCTTGGAGGCTGTTTACATGGCGCCGTTACTTTTTCGCCCTCATCAATCATTATCTTTTTAATGTACGTTTAGATGTTACCTTTTGCTCCTATTTTTATACATTCTAGATGGCCATTTACTGTACATGTGTAATGAAGTCATATTGTATATAAAATGTACAAAGGTAAATGTAAAACATCTATCTACAAATTTTAGACGTAAAAACCTAAAACACCGTACAAAAGCAGCAAGAAGCTCGGACGACAAACTGCCCACACAATGAAGTGAAAACGCACACTTCAGCAAACAAACACACACAGAACGAGTTTTGCCATGAAGGAAAAACGGAACAGGCCAGTCGACACAAGTGTGTTGGTACAAGTGTGTAAGGGGATGAAATCACGCCTGTTGAGTTTCTGTACAGAAAGCATGACACAGGCCTGGTTCTTTAACAGGGTTTTTATTCATTTTGGTCTCCAGTGTTGGGACCAACCAAAAAAACGTATAAATTACAAACAGGCCACAGGGGATGGACAGAAACGAGTCTTTGTACGATTGGGTATAGATAAACATACCACAAAGAGTATGAAAGAGTATGAGAGAATATATATGGAGAAAGTGAACAAGTAAATGTCCGAGTTTGAGTTTGCTATTTTTGTGTACATCCTCAGCAGCTTTTATAAAAGCTTATGTGTTAAGATTGTGTGTGTGAGTACGTGTGTTTGTTTCACCCAGCATACACTTTTTTTTTTTACTTAGCAGACATCATTTATGTGCGTTTTTTGACTTATCAAGTTAGGGTCTTGACTTAAGTTTACACTTTTTATACACCCATCAAAGTCCTGTCAAACAGAACTCTTGTCCGGTATAGAACTTCTGATCTGCTCAAGATATTTCAACAAAACTTCATACACATGCATCGCCACGATGGTGTGTCAAGTACACTGTTTATTGACCCAGCGTCAAGGTGAAGGTCACAAATCAAGGTCAAATGTTATACAAGGTCTTTGCTTGTCTGGGCCAATGTTAAAGATTGCTGTATAAGTTTGTCAGCTGGTGTGTAATGTGTCGTATGCGGTACTTTTGTTGTTTTCTGTAATCCTTTACTACATCAGCCTTGGGTTTTATCATAACTTGTGGTAAAGTTACATGGCATTACCAAAGTAAAATTGTAAGGTCATCTAGACTGAATATGTTTCCGATTTCTGAAGACTGTTGTCTTCTGCAAGGAGATTGCCCATCAGAGTTCCACTCAACCATTGCATGTATAGGTGTATAGCCACCCAATGCCTACTCTGCAATGGACATAGGTGTGCAACATCGACAGTAAAAACTCTGCTTTCCATCTGTAGTGTTCTTATCTTAATGTTAGTGTTAGACAATTGTTTGGTAGTCTATATGTTGAGTTTCCTGAGTGAAAAACTACCAGACCTGTATAATCTCTTTTGTTCTGAAATGTTTTAGGGTCTGGGCCTACTTTTGTTTTGGAATACCCAATGATCAAGAACACTGATGGTTTTATAGTAGTTTCTGGTGCTCATCCTTCTTAAGAACTTAAAGGATTGAAGATATAAATGGATAGCTACTGATTAAGTGCAAAAGACAAACATCAGGGTTCAGACCTTTGAAATTTGACCCTGAATGGTTTTAGAAGCAAAGAGAATTTAGAAACATATATTGGCCAATGTGAAAGGATTTCTGTGATCAGTCCACATCCGGAATATGAGATTTGAAAAAAAAAAAAGAAGTTCTGGATCCCCAAATGGAGTGAACAGATGTAACTATTTGGGCCCTAAGGTTCATGTGTATTAGATTATACAAGCCAAAAACAATTCTAAAACCATCAGGGTTCCTGAACCTTTTAGATCTCAGATTGTCCAAACCTCAAAAGATTTCAGAACCTAAGACATTCTGGATTGGTAAAGATGGCAAAATCTAAAGGTTTACGCGAGTCAGGAACAGATTTATACGTTTGGCTGAAAAAACCCTCTAGAACTTCAATAATTCAGGAACGTTTGGTTGAAACTAATTCTAGACCGGAGGAATTCTGTGAGACTTTAGCAGCTCTCTCTCTCATGAATCTGAAGATGGTTTCCCTCCATCTGTCAATTCCCACTGTTGCACGGTGACATTACAGCATCAGATAGGTTATGTTTGTTTTGCCCACCCTTTTGCACATTCTGCCTTTTGCCCCAGAGAGGCAGTGACAGTCTGCGTCACCCACCTCCTCACAATTCCCAGGACTCCTCCCCCATTTCATCCTGGTTGGAGCACGCTCTCTGTCTCTTCTTTAACATATTGTCTGGCTCAAACCGAACTCTCCATCGTCTATGTACCGCGTCTTTCTCCCTGCTTCCATCTTCTTCTCACATGGCCCTTCTCATACCCACCTTCTGGATAGTTTTCCCCTCCCCTCTGTATCTCTTTCTGCGTTCAGTCTGTGCATTTGAGCTCAGCAGAAGACAGTATAAGATGAAAGGACAATGAAAGTCAATGAAAGGACTGTACAAAACATAAATGCTCTTCTTTGATTGTAAGTCCAAAAAAAATTTATTTTGTGCTTCATTGTCCATTGACTTACCATGAATGATTGTCAGAATGAGTTTGATTAAAACAAGGCATTTTATGCTTAAAGGACGTTCACTTTGGACTGTGCACACCCTTATTCCTTGGATGGCTGCTTCTGGATTACTGTCTGATGAGCAGTGGGTCAGGCCTAACACCTGACTTATCCACTACATAAATGGACTGTTAAAACGTTTCATCTCCTGACTCAAAATATCTCTTGGTGCTATTGAGTCAGAGCTCTACCTTGTGGATGAAAAAGGAAGAAACACCTACTGTAAGAATAGATGGGTAAAACAAACACTCCTTCACATGCACTTTTCCTCCCAGTCCTTCTTCAGGTATTCATCTTTTTTTACAAGGAGAAAATCAAAAATGCATAAATGATCCCCATTTACAACAACTAGTCCAGTGATGCTTGTTTTAAATATTTAGTGAATGAAAATGATAGTCCTATAAATTTCTGTGTTTGTTTGCTTTGTATATTGAATTATGGGTGTTGCTGAAGCACCTATTAGCTTGTTTCTTTATGTTTGCTTTTACCATCTATTATATGTCTTTTTTTAATTATTTAAGCTGCCTTGGTTGTAAACACACAAATACCAGGCCACAAAGACCCCCATAAACTTGATGCTTAAAGGAAATAACTTCTTTATATAGGCAAATATTATCCGAACTGCATTCGTAATTAGATATGCAGCAGTCCGATACAATACCCCTTGAATATGTTGCAGGAATGAAGTAAAATGTGACACGAGGGAAGAAATGCTTGTTTATGGTCCAAACCCAGCTTAGTGAAAGCCAACACAAAAATATACATCGACTGTACCAAGCAAATATAACTGTTCATACCTTGTGGTGCGTGAACAAGATACACAAGGTCATCTAAAACAGTAGAAAGTGTTGGACCGTTGTGTTCAGTGCGAACATCAGATCAACAATCCACAATGGATTTGTATAGTTTTTGGACAAATGTCAGATTACTATAAAGAAGAATGCAAGGAGAGATACAAACGTAAAAATGTATAAATTCCCAGGTAAAAACAATCGGAAAAAGGAACGCAACGATTGTGTCATCTTGTTTTGAGACGAGTACCAGTCAACCTTATTCCAACGGCGATATCACCGATTAGGTTGATATTTTCCCAAAGCTTACCAAAATGTTACTGCCAACTCTGGATAATGTTTGTGCAACATTTTAAGCTTTTCAAAAGACAACCAACAACATATTTCTGAACTCCTAAAAAAGTGTTTTCAGAATACATTCTGAAAACTAGAACAACGATTTGAGCCATCTCTGCCTGCAGAGCAACTATGCATCCAAGCAAATCAGTGAAACTGATCTCTAAAGTGTATTCACATTTAATTCTATTTAAGAGGACATTTCTATGAAGTTTAAAAATATCTAAAAAGAGGAATCTATTGAATGTTTACTCCATTGTCTCCTGTAAAGGAAGAGAAGTGGTATAGGAGAAAAGAAAAGAGAAAATGTTGGTGTTATATAGCTGACTGTGGCACTTCTTACACCAACATTTACATCGTTCATCATATTTTCTGCCACCTTATCGCTTGCTCTGTCTCAGCTGTTTTATGCATCAAAAGAGCTTATGTGTTCAAAGCTTTTCCCTATTTTTCACTTTCTTGTTTGCTTTCATGCAAATGTTTTACGAGGTAAAGGAAGGCAGGAGATGCTGAAGTGGCTCACATATTTAACTCACAAGTGGTTGCTGGGCAGAATATAGTTTCCATGTTGTATTAAAAACTATAAAGGGGATGTATAGAGATATATGTTTCACTCAAGACCACTCTTGTACCGTAAAAGTTTTGTTTCATGAATTCATAGTGCTGTAGTTCTGTTGGACCATCATCTACACATCACAGGCATTTTAGTTATGAAATTTGATACCCAACCCAAACTGAGAGGCATCCAACCACTGACGGTATCTCACTCGGCTACAACTGTTGGAGACTAGTAATAGTAGTGGTAAATGGACTGTACTTATATAGCGCCTTTCTATCTTATCGAGATGTTCAAAGCGCTTTACACTACAATCTGTGTCCTCGTTACTCATTCATGCAGCACTCTACTAGATCTATACAAAGCTAATTGAACAAATCATTCTAAAGAGACTAATCAGTACTTAATCACATTCATACACCAATGGGACACACATCGGAGGCAATGAGAGATTCAGTGTCTTGCCCAGGGACACTTAAGTATGTGACATTGGAGGATGACTGCTCTAGCCACTCAGCCACAGCCGCCCCATAGTAGCAACTATAAATGGGGCAAATTGCTAGGAAATACGCACCTTTTTCATTGCAGTCTCACTGAATTCTGTCTGCAACCAAAGAACCAGTGAGCCATGTGGCAGCGTTTTAAGTTGCGAATTAAGGAAAATCTTGACCTATTTTTGTGCGCTTGTCTTTGCAGATGTCAAAATACAGATATAGTTTGTTTAAATTTATGGAAACTAAGTAAAGATTCATTATGGGTTTGAGACGTCT